AATGTCAGAAGGAGTGGGCCTGATCTACCTTCAGGGATAAGGATGTTCCATAAGGTGTGGGTGCTACAGCAGAGAAGCATGTTTCCTGGGGCCCCCAAATGTAGATCTCTAGCTGATAATACTCACAGCATCATGCCTTCTTTGCAAGATCTGACGGGGCAGACTGATATAAATGAAGAAAGGCATGTGATAAAGAGCTTTAAAGTTAAAACCAGCACGTTTAATTCATGTTTTTCCCTCGACATACAGTGCACACTTAAATATATTTTTAGTCATTATTTAACTGGTAATTAGTTGTCAAAATAGAAACATCATTCTAGGCAGAATATTCACCTTTATCTTAGAAGTTCTCATCAAACGTGACAATTGTAGTTTCTCCCATCTTAGTATGTCCTTGATATAACTAAATTCCCCATGAAAATATAATGCTCTTTTATAAGTAAAATTATGTCTGAAACTAAATTTTCTTATACCCCACATATAATTTGAGAAAGTGCAAGTTAGGTAAATGTTCATTAAAATGTTAATGAAATGACTTACTTCCATCTTGAACGTATAGCTATTCAAAAAGCTATTTTTACAGTCCAAATACAGTAATAGAAACACATGTCTTGTTGGAATATTCATGGGCAGGAAGAGTCATGTGGTAACCCAGTCAGCCAATGTGAAGAAAGTGCTACTGAGTCTGTGCAAAAGATATTGAGTTAGAAGCTGAATTTTCAGTCTCAGATTTGTCTCTGTATCTCTCTGTAAGAAGTCTTCATTGAGCTATGTTGCTGTAAAGAAGAATGTATGGTATTGTAAATATTTTGATATGAATATAAAAAGGTTATTTTGAATCAGCTAAATGCAGTCAACTGTGAGAGCTTTTGATTTATTTTCACCAACAGAGAAATTAAAATTTTCTAACACATCTCATCCAATGTAGTTTGAGCAGACTGGTTTCACACATCAGTGAACATATTATATGGTTTTCTTGGTTCTGGTTGCTTGTGTTTTGTGAATTCAGCCATGGTGATTGCTAAACCACAATCTTAAAATTCGCCCAAACTTAGGAAAACAAAATCAACAATCCTAGGTTCAGTTATTTTCTTCAGGAGGGGTGGATTGTAATTGACTGGAAGAGTGTCTTCATTCTTGAAAAAGAAACTGTTTTAACTCTGCCCACTACATCTTTATGGGTTCTTCCCAAATGTTCAGGCAGCCTTAGTCACCAAAAGTTTTCCCAATCCTACCCCAAGGAAATTTCTCTGCCTTTGTAAGAACTGTGTGGATTAGTTCTAAAACTATTCTATCATAGAAAAACATCCAAGGAAGCCCATGAGTTATAAATGTTGTATCTTCCTTGGAAGAAAAGCATAATTCAAGCATTAGAGATGCCTGGGTAAGATTTTTTTTTTTTGCCAATTGAAACTATTATTTAAAAATTCTTTATTTTTGCAACCATAGAGTAATTGCCTCTACCTGTTTTGTTTCACTCACACTGTGTATTACCTTTCTCTATAGCCATATGGAAACATTAGCTAATAGTGACACATTTTAACATAGAGACCCTTAAAGGAACATTAGATTCAATTTAGGAACCAATTATTACTAACAAAGTACAGAAATTTTGAAGGAGAAAATGCCCTGTGCTCCAAGACATATCTTTAAGAAAAAACATGTCTTGTAGGTACATTGGGTGCACCTTTACTTTGTTAATTTTGTTACAGTACAATTTTGTGGTACTAATTTCTAAGCTGCAAAGGATGCTTCAGATGGCTTGGAAGGTAGTCATGGGATGATCTATTTCTCTCAGTATTTGAGATGCTTCACATATTGAGGATTCAAATTTCATGATATTTCCATATACTTATGGGAAAAAAAGTGGGCATCCAAAGCAGTATGAGTTGGGGCCAAGTGTACAAATGCAATTTCTATCTCTGAGTTTTATTGTGTAAGAAGCAGCTGTATAGCTATTTGATAGTGAACTGGGATGATGAGGATAAATTTGGTATAAAATATGTAATTCATACCTCCAAACACTGCCTGTGTTTTCAAAAGCTTCCATTCATATGCTTTCTGGAAGGACCTTAAAACTGGGGTATGCTAGTTAGCTGAGGATCTGATGGGGACACACTATTTTGAAAGTGGTTAAATGAGTGAGAGATAAAACCCACCCCTTTTATCTTTTTGTTTTCTAGGTTTTTATCTGTCATTTAATTTCTCTGGCTTATCTGTCATTTAATTTATAATTTTATGGCATTGTAAGTCACCCAGAATCACTTTGGCTAGTGAGATGGGTAGCATATAGATTTAGCAAACAAACAAGAAAATACACACAAACATTGAAGAAAGAAATATTAGTTAATCTATTCTGGCAAAATAATGAGGAGGATTCTAAAGTATCTTTTCTAATTAATAAATGTTATTAAAAGTCATAAGCTTTCATGAGTTGCAGCTGAATTCATCAAATGCATCTCATGAACATTTATGCTTTTTAATAAAAGTAGCCAGAAAATATTCCTTTCTATTCTCCATCTGCAATGCAGATAGAAGTACCAGGGTAATGTAAGCTTTTAAAAGTTCCCTGTGGCTGTCATTTACGTTGCAGAAAATAAAAACAACATTCATGTTATTGATGCTGTCTCTCCACTCTTAATGAATTAAGATTCATTTTTGGAAAAATGTTCATCATGCAGATGTGTTGGAAAACTGATCAACTTCCAGACATTTTTCCCTGTGATTTTCATGGTCTACCAATAGGCTCATGAAAAGAAAGAGATTTTTAGCCCATTAAAATTGAAAAGAATAAATGGAAAAGATTTCTATCACTGTCATCATCATCATTGCCATTGAATTGCCAACTTCAAAATAAATAGGATATGTTTGTTTGGATTAAAGAATGATGAGATAGGAAGAAAGTAAGTGAATTTAAAATGCAATTTTATATAAAGAATATTCAGTTTTGGATGCTTAAAATTTGAGATTTTAAAGGGGTTATGCATTACATCCCAAACTGGAAGATCACATAACAGAATTATTATTCATATTGAAAATTAGCACAGAACTCAAATATAGATTGAACTATGAGATACTTATCTGAAATCTGGAACACTATAAATATGAATAAGAATTTTCTCCAATGGCAGAGCATTAAACATCTCCACGCCGTATTCTGTTTGTTTTTGTAACACAAATTATGTAAACTCATATTGATATGTTTTTAGGCATTTTTTTAAAAAAAATCTACCTTACAGTGAGATTCTGCGGTCATTAACTTGCACTGATATTTTAATTTTAATGGATTGTTTTTATCTTTAAACTATTTTAATTTTTCCTTTTAAATTTTGCTTTGTTTATTGAAATAATGAATTGTTCATTATAGAATTCCTCCCACAACAGGGAAGTATCACAAATATTGGCAAAATATTTTAAAAAAACAACAACCAGAGGGCATATAGAAACAAGGATTGAAAAAATAAGTATTGTGTCATGTGTCATATCTGATCACTGTCTCATTGTGACTTGTCCTGGATGACTAGGGACTGAAAAACACAGTGAAAAGCAAGTACTTGTCTGTGACAGAAAATTGAATGCTGCCTCTTCCTTGGGTCATATGTGGAACTCTCAAAGCTAAAATACAACATCCAAAGTCCTTCTAAAACTTGTTAAATTTATTTTGGGGTTATTCACTTAAATTTCTTCTAGACTCTTTAGAGGATCCTGTGGCAGTTCTAACCCAATGCCTAAATCTGACAAGATAAATATATAGGCTGTTATCCCATTCATTATTTTAATTCATTTAGTTAATTACACATTAAATTAAAACTTGTTTCTTCTGGCCCTGCTCACTTTCTTTTTATTCACTGTACTTATATAAATTTATATACCCTCTATTAGGGGATGAATGATCTCCCCAGCTAAGCTAGCTTTGAAGCTGAAATAGGAGAGGGAGAAAAGATGGTTTAAAAGAAAAATATATATAATAAGAGGCAATTCTCTACTAGCTTTATTCTTTTCATGAACAGAACCATAAAAACATACTTTTTTTAAACAAGCAAGTCCTAGTAAATTTAATGAAGTGCCTTTCCAAAGAAGCGTTCAGAATTTTTGAGGACTAAACCTGTTTGCCCAGCCCAGACTGCGTTTCCTGGCCAAAATACGCTTTTGCAGTTTTGTTTATGGAAAGGAGAACTAAATTGTTTTTTTAATCTATATATTATTAAATCTCTTGGTTTTGTAACATTAACTGGAAAAAATATTTATCATTAGGCAACAGTTTTTGAACCAATGCATCTCAAAAGGGTTAATTTACAGTAAGCCCAAAATCTGGAACCTGTGACTCCTGAAGGAATGAAATTTGGGAAAAATGTGGTTGCTTCAATGCTTGTGATCTGCCTTCACTTCAGCCCACCAGGCTGTTGCTGCAGACACACAATGCTCATTTTAAACCTTTTATAACATTTTTATAACAGTCATTTTCTCAGTCCCTCACTCTCTCCCATACCCAGCAGCAGTTAGCAAGAAAGGAACCCCTGTAATCCCTTTCTGGGCCATGGCACCCCCTGATTTGTGGGGCATCTTTTATGCATCCCAAACACCCTCCCTGACCCCACCATCCTCTCACTCCTTCCTTCTCCAAGTGGTACCACTTGTGCATTCCCACATATCCTCCCCAGCTAGGTTGCCCCAGATGCCTTCCCCAAGCTGTACAGCATCTTTTTATTTTTTATTTTTGCTCATTGTGTTTCTCTATTTAGATAAAGAAATATCTCTGAAACAATGACCCAACAGGGGAATGGATTGTCTAATTTGCTTTAAAAATGAGACAGATACAACCCTAACAATGAAAAGTTATAAGGAAATAAAAAACCCTAAATGTATTATCTTGATTAAAATATACTCAATGTGACAAAAGTAAAAAAGAAGACTACTTGTCAAAAAGAAAGAAATTATCTATGTAACATCTACTGGTGTCAATGCTATTCAATATTTCTTAACACACAGACCCACTGATCCTCCAAATTTGGATAGTTCAATTCTTTATTCCACAATTCATTTTTATAACTAATATTAGTTATTTTTTAAGCTGTTCTTGATAAAAATGGATTTTTGGTTTCTCTTCAAGCACTCAATCTCTATAGGAACCTAAAACTAGCTCTTTTAGAAGTTGCTGAAGCATCTGGACTATTCAGCATGTGTTTTAGTTGCATATATTGTCATGAAGTTTGTGAATAAATCAGAATGCAGCCTCTCAATATCTTTAAAACAGTCATTTAAATTAATTTATTTAAAATATTGATCCAATGGCTCACCTGGGGATTCCAATAAAACACATTCCCTACCTTCAAATTAGAGTTATTTCACAGTGTTAATTTCTCGTGTGATTCAGGTTCAAAACGTAATCATTTACCTATTTAATAACCAAATGTGCTTGGCAGCTTTCAAGATTAGAGACAAAGATCCCCGTTTAATATACCTGGACTTGAAAACTTGCCAAGATTTGAGAGGTGTTATATGCTTAGCCTTCAAATGAACCCCAAAAGTGGAAAACTCATAGAAGACTATCTTACCTACTATAGCAAAATAAAATCAAGATGAAATCAACACAAATTATCCCTAATAATAATGGAAGCTATTTTTGTTGCAATAGGCTGTAATTATTTCTTTCCCTTGAATATTTTATAATAATACTATTTTATGATACTTTTCAGTATGGAGCAAAGAGAATGATTCATTTGATATTGTGGCTGATGTATTTGGGAAAGAAATGTGCTGACACACACAAGAGCTGAGTGTAGCTGAGATTTCTGAAGGCAAATTTGCCTTAAGAATAATTTTCTTTGGCTAGGGAAAGCCAGATGAGCCAGCCTTATGGAAGACAAAGTAACACCCTTATGGCAACGCCCACATTGCAGAAAGTATAAATAGATACCTGGGTATATGTCAGCATTTGCAGCCTATCTTTGCATCAAGCTGTGCATCTTTGGCTTTATTATTTTTTCTGGCTCCTTGATCTTGCTTCTAAAATTAATTTGATATGAGTTGCAGGTCCAAACAGACTATGATGTACACCAAGGGGAGAAGCTCCAGTAGTAGCTGTGGTGGAATAAGGGTAGTTTCAGGAATCTCTGGGAGAGGTTCCTCCTCTGTTGTAAGTAGTGTTGGAGGCGGTGTATCTGGGAGGACCTTTTCTAGTGGCGTCTCTTATGGAGGGGCAAGTTGCACTGATGGTGGCTTTGGAGGGAGCTATTTGTATGGTTCCGGGGGCAGTTTCTGCTTTGGGCAAATTGGTGGTGGCTTTGGCATTAGCAATGAAACCACCTTGATCTCCTGTGATGAGAAGATGACCATGCAGAACCTCAATGACCGCCTGGCCTCTTACTTGGAGAAAGTGAAAAATCTTGAGGAGGAGAATGCTGATCTTGAAGCCCGAATTAGGCAATGGTATGACCAACAAGGCCCACCATCTGAGCTAAAGGATTATAGCTCTTATTATCAACAAATTGAGGAGTTAAAGAATCAGGTATGAAAATTGTTCCTCTACAATGTGCATCTATATTAATAATTATTCTAGGCATGCTATAGGTTAGGCCTCGATGCTTTGGGATTTAATGTAGAAATATATGTTACATTAACTAGGAACAGAATGGCTATTCAAAGACGGAGAGTTAGCATTAGGGTTGGGAAATACTATTTGGGAAATGGTTCTTGCCAAAGCTAGAGAGCAACTTCCATCAAGGATTTGATGAATGAAGAAAATCATGGCTGAGAGAGGAAAGCATTAAATAAGTCCAGTGCATCCCTTCTGGGTAGGGAACACATTGAGACTGGAAAGTAAAATTAAAGGCTAAATTTGAAGTACAATGTTGTGACAACTAAGAAGTAGTAGGAGACAAAGTTCAAATAACATTATTCTTTCCCATTGCAGATAGTTTGTGCCACTGTGGATAATAGTAAGCTTATCCTGGATATTGATAATAACCGCATGACTGCTGATGATTTCAGGTTGAAGTAAGTTTCACTTGAATCACATAATAATAATCATTACAAAAATTACAAAAGGCCACACAGCTTGGAACCGCACGCATCCAATCCCGATACATAAAGACATTCTAGGTTGTTGGGAAAATTTGATATGTATAAAGACCAATACCGGCTAAAGAACTGACAGCTGTGATTTCACATTATTGGGTATATAATAAATTATTAAACTTGTATGACACATGACTTTTGCAATATTGGTGGCTCACAACAATCCAACAAGAAAAGTACCAATAAAATATAAAAACCAAACATGAAACAAGTGCCTTTTAAAATTTCCTTTTCCATAATGGGATAACTATCAAATAGTCCACAAATGAGCCCTCCACTACAAAACAGCACAATAAAGCAAAAGAGGGAATCCTTTTCATACAAGTCTATTCCGGAAGAATAGATTTGCTAATGATCCTTATAGATCTAACAGTGCTTTTTCTCCCCCTTCCTTTAACTATGATGCAGGTATGAAACTGAATTGGCTCTTTGCCAAAATGTGGAAGCTGATATCAATGGATTGCGCCAGGTCCTGGATCAACTGACTCTCTGTAGATCTGATTTGGAGGCACAACTTGAATCCCTCCGGGAAGAGTTGTGCTGTATCAAGAAGAACCATGAAGAGGTGAGTTTCCCTTCTCCACGTTACCTATGTTGCTATTATTCCTGGTAGGAGTGGGACTGAAAAAAAAATCTTTACATCTGACTGAACATCCACATCCTTTTGAACTTTATTTGCAGGAAATTAAGAGTCTGAAGAGTCAGACTTGTGGTGATGTTAGTGTGGAAGTTAATTCTTCCCCAGGTCCAGATCTGAAGAAGGTTCTGGAAGAAATGAGATGTCAGTATGAAACCATGATTGAGAACAACCGCAAAGAAGTTGAGCAGTGGTATGAACGCAAGGTATGTTGTTTCTAAATACAATAAAATCGAGTTCACAGAGTCATGTTTATACTGTAACAGCTGACAATCTGAGCAGTTGCTTATGCAGTTCTGGGGGAAAAGCACCACTTAAGGAGGAAGACTGATTTTCATAACATTTATATATTCTATTTTCAGTGTAATAAATGTGCATTGAAGTAATGCCACATATCCATTAGGAAAAGACTGGACCAAGTAAACTATGTTCATGACTTTGCAACTTCAAGACTATTTGCTCTCCTTCTAGATTTGAATTGAACACCTTTTCCTACAGCATATTTATAAGTAGGATATATGCTTTCCCTGTTATTAAGGGGCAGTTCTGAGCTGAAATCTGGTCCTTTAGAGTAACAGTTTCTCAGCTCTTCCCCCTGTTTATATTGTGAAATGTTTATAGAGGCGATGAGAGAGAATAAGCAAGATAATCCTATTTCACTCATCCTGGGATGCTGCACTATTTTGGTCTGTCACAACTCTCCCATTTAGAAGTCCACAACTGTTTTGATTAATGACTGAACTTCATTATACTTATAAAAACATTTTTGGCTTTCAAAGACTGCAGAGGGGATGGCGAGCCCATCAGGAGGAGCAGAATCAACATTTTGAGTGTGTTTTGGGAATAGTGTTTGTGGCATATTTTCAATTACTTTCAGAAAATTCCAGGTTTGTGTTAGGCCTACCAGAGAGTAAAAGGATCTATCCTCATATATGGTCATTCATCTAGAATGGGAAAAGCCAGACCAGAATACCATGCCTACCTTTGGTGGTGCCTTTTATGTTTAGAAAGGTCAAATCCAAGCTGGAAATGAAACAAAAATGTAATACATGATGATCATGGTAAAGGAGGGCTGGCCATGTAAAGAAAGATCTTCAGAATATTCCTTATGTAATTAGTGGTGAAATCATGAATATAAGTAAATGCATTTATTCATGTGAGCTGCTAACTCTAATGACCCAAAAGAAACATGAAAATCGTCCATTTAATTTTCTACTTGCCGGCTTGGCACAGTGGTTAAGGTGCTGGACTCAAAACGGAAAGTCCATACGTTGCAGTCTTTCCTTAGGCACGAACGTTTTTTGGGTGATTTGAGCCAATTATAATTTCTTAGCTCTCAATTCATGTCATGTGATTGTTGTGGTTGGGGAAATAGGTAAAGGCAGCATACATAATGCTGCCATGAGTTGTACAAAATAAAGATGAGGTATCATCACCAACACTATCAATCTCATATCATGCTATTGTCCTTACTATGAATATAAGTAAGCCTATTTTAATAATTAAAATGTATTATTCCTCAGCATACTTTAAAAATAAGACAACACTTAAAGCATGCCCTTATTCTCTTTCTTAAAAATATTTCCCCTTACCAATATTTTAATGTTTCCAAGGTTCAAACTCATCTTGATGTCAGTAGTTTCCTCAGGAAAGAAACTGTTTCTTAATTTCCCATCTTATTTTTAATGCCTTTTCAGATGGAAGAAGTGAATCAGGAGGTCTGCATCAGTAGCAAAGAAGTTGAGGATTGCAACAATCAAGTTGTTGACCTGAAACGTCAACTGCAAACCTTAGAAATAGATTTGCAGGCTCAGCTTTGCTTGGTAAGCATCTCTCTTATTTAAACAATAGACTTTAATTTCTGATTTGCCTCTTCCATGAACTACTTATTCGTCATAGCAAGTATAAGATTCATACTGATAGAAAAGAGAGATTTTTTTTAATACTTTCTCTACGGTATCAAAGATTGCAACTCTAGAAGACTACTATTTTAGGTAAACATGCAGATTTGTAGGGACAGTCAACTCATGAGACGATTTTACAAGATGATGACTATTCCTGGGCCAGGACTAAACCAAAGGGTTGGTTAAAGGCAATAAGTACAGGGTAAATAGAAGCAAAGAAAGAGAATTGGGGGGAACCTGCAACAAAAAGAATATTAGAAGTAACTGATGGAATGGGGAAGGAAAATATTTCTTGCTACGCTGGAAGTTATTCATCATAGCATTTGTATATATGTAATTGCCAATGACTTCTGTAAAGGGCATTTCATGTCTTTATATATACAAAAATCAAAGCATTATTTGTGAAGTACCAGAGATTATCCTTTTCTTTGGAAAAATGTAACCTGTAGGATACATTCTTGAAATTTTTTTAGCCTTGATTTTCTATTGGTAACTTTCATTTTTTAACTTCTTAAGAGGGAATCACTCCAAGACTCCTTGGGCGAGACTGAATGCCGCTACAATACCCACCTGGCTGAAATACAGAACCAGATCTCCCTTGTGGAACAGCAGCTAGCAGAGTTGAGGGCAGAGATGGAGTGTCAGAATCGAGAATACAGAGAACTTCTAGATGTCAAGTGTCGCTTGGAACAGGAGATCCAGACCTACCGCTCCCTTTTAGAGGAAGGGCAGCAAGACATTAGGTAGGTAGATCATGGCAAACTTAAACATTTTAGATTTTCTACTATTTCTTCTTTCCTACTAGCCCCATAACTCTTCTGAGGCAGGGTTAGGTGTGCCATTACACCAAGGAAAGCAGCTACCTTCAGTAGTGAGCGTGGGGTGTAACTGCAATTTATTTAAATTTATTTTTATTTTACTTCCACAGAGGTGTATGTGAGATTTTATTCCTTATGTATTAGACCTATTTCCTGCCTTTACTTATCATGGACTTTCTGTGGACAGAGGAGCCATTTGCTGCCTGCAAGGCTAGATCTGTTGAAGATTAGCAACTAATCTGTTGACGCATACATCTGCTCATGGTCACATTTTTAAAGGGTTAATATATGGATGACTCAAACGAGATGTTTTCTTTTAATTTTAGTAAATTTAAATTCTCAAACTGTTCAAAAGTTTTGAAAATCAATACTGTAGGTTAATTATCAAATACAAAAGACTCAATTTTCTGGCAAACCCTATCAGTTTCTCAAGAAGATGATGATACTAGTTTATTAGATTAATTTGCCCTTCCAGCCTCTGGCCTTCAGCATCTGCCTCTACATATGCATAACACACAAGAGGATACCTAAAAATGCACAGGGTATATTGTCTTTACATTACAGTGCTACTGTATGATAACTAACAATGAATGAAAATGGAACTGTCAGATGTACGCATTATCTACTTCAGAATATGTTTGAGTTCTGTATTCATTGGGAATTTGTAGAAGCATAGGGTTGACATAGGTGCAGTCTGGCCATCCTGGGAGAAAGGATGCTGGATTAGATAAACTTTTGGGCTAATTTAGTAGATCTCTTCTTCTGCTCATATAAATTCACCCAGGGAATCCTCTGTTCTCATTCTTCTCATGCCCTGCAATCATATACCATTGAAACAGCACAACTAATTTCATTTAATGCTATTAATATATATTTAATACTTTTTTTGATCTCATTCAAGGGTATTTCCCTCTTCTTTTTTTCCAACAGTAGTCCGAGCAGCAGCCCTTCTGGAGGTGGACTTTGCAAACATTCAGGAGGAGTTAGAGTCCTCTCTCATTCTTACAGTAGCTCTAGTCCTGGCCAGGCCTCCTCTTCGGACCTGAAAGGTAAGGGGGAAATCACAGTGTCCCTATATTAAAGATGGAAACTAATCCTTAAAGCAAACAAATATATGTGTGTGTGTATATATATATATTCTGAGGTTTTCGCGGGTGTTTGTATGTAGGTCTTTGGTTATTCAGGTTTTCTCCCGCGTCAAATTGGAAGTGTCTTGGCAACGTTTCGATGAAGTCTCATTTGTCATCTTCAGGTTGGTGTTTTCAGCTTTGTGCTTCTACACACACACACACACACACACACACACACACATATATATATATAGAGAGAGACCCTAACCAATCAGAACACACCTCCACCCAATCAGAACACAGCCAAGCTTCCACCCAATCAGTTCATACCCCCATTGGCAGTTAAAAGGAAGAAACAGCTAAGACCACACATTGCTCCTCAAAGCACGAAGCTGAAAACACCAGCCTGAAGATGACGAATGGGACTTCGTCGAAACATCGCCAAGACACTTCCAATTTTACGCAGGAGAAAACCCGAATAACCAAAGACCTATATACAAACACCTGCAAAAACCTCAGAAAACATACATATATATATATGCAAAATTGAAAAATGAACCTTTCTTGGAAAGGAAATAAAAGCTATTTTAGCTTAGCTTTGGCCTGTCCAATTCTTGTATTGTCTCTACAGATTCTACAATCATTTTTATTTCATTAATGTTTTTAGATTGATATCCAGACCTGGTCCTTTAAGTCCCTGGACCATGCAGCCATAGATTAACCATTGTGGCTCTGTTACTCACTTACTGAGATTTATTAAGATTGTTCTGTCCCAACTGTATCTGAATTTGTTCTGAGTGAACATGTAACAGACTTAGCAATGTGCATATACTCATTCCAGTTCCTTATTTTAAGGTGCATTTATACTTCCAAAGTGAAAACCAATCAGATTAATAAATCAGTCATCTAGCTTGTATCCCCTGACATCTTTTGTTTCATAATTCAGGAAGGATTTCTTAATTACTTTCTCAACATCTTCCATGTTAAGAGGGCAGGCCATATTTATTAATTTGAGATGTTTTCATTTCTACTCATCTCTAGGATACAGCAGATGAATGAACAATAAGATCTTCAACTAAGAAAGGCTTCGCAACTCTATTCTATACTGCACACTGGTTCGTATCAGTTAGCAAAAGAGGAATCTTCCCTCTAGTTATTGAACGCTGTTCATGGCAAATATCCATCAGTGGGTTGTCTTAACTAGCAGATTTGCCCACCTCTCAAGCTTAGATATGACCATTAACATGTGCATTTCTTAATTTCTGTGGTGTTGCTCTTGGATGTTCCGCTGAAAATGGGGTTTCAATAAAACTGGGCTTCTAGCAGTTGCAAATCAAACTTATGCCTCTGTGTCATGAACTTATAGATAAGAAGTTCTGTTTTTTGTCCTTTCTGAAACAGGTTCCTATGTAATTGATTATTAAAACAGCAAAACATGGTCAATGAAAGTTATTTAAATATTAGAATATATGCCAGTATTTGTTATTTATTCCTTCTAGAAAAAAAGATAAAAGCAAGGCTACTGAATAGCTAATCATTGAGGCCAGATACCCGTGGACAGCTTTTAGAGCACCAAATATATATTCCAAGAGAGCTTAACAGCAATATTTATTTATGTATTCATTACACAAATTTTTATAGCTTCCCAACTCACATCTTACATTGAAAAATTCATCATGTAATAAAAAACCCTTAAAAACCCCACACTCCATTCAACATGGCAACAACATAATCAAATCAATCGATCAGCTCCATCTTCATTTGTGGTTCCTAGAATTACTGACAAAGCTATGTTTTTTGGATCTTTTGGGAAGGCAAAAAGGAGGTGGTCAACCATATTTTAGGGGGAATGAGGAAGTCTCTTTCTTGTGGTGCCACCAGATGTACTTCCCTAATCATGCACTGCCTTCCTATCCTGGTGAGCCAAGTAGATATAATAGGGGAGAAGTGGTCCTTCAAATAGCCTGGCTTTCTTATAAAATATAACACTACTTGGATCTTTTGTGGCAGATAGTTAGGGCTGACATGTCCCTATTTCAGATTTCTCACACTGAGGATATATTGGATGCATTATGGAAAATTTAGTTAAAGATTCACATGGAGGCCCTGTGTAAAGCTCCCAAGACTAAAGAGGTAAACAACTCAAGACTACTGTGTTCCATGCAACCCACAGTTTACTTTCAAGATCTCTCTGCAAGGAATCAGAGTTCTAATAAAGACCTAACTCCACTTTTTGTGCAGCCTGCTGTTTGAACAAGAAACAAGTTTAATAAGCTTTTTTTTTTTTTTTTAAGAAAACAAGGGGGGGGGAAGTGATGCAAGAGAATCATGAGGCATTCCCACCCTGTGGTATAACAAAGGAAAAGCATCCAGCCTTTTGGTCTGTGGTTTCTGCCATCATGTAATCAGAACCTCTCATACACTCACTTCTGGATTTGATCCCAAACTTAACAATGAGTTCTCTCATGAAAACATCAATGGGAAAAAAAACCCTTTCTATTATAAAGCACAGGTGTCTTCTTTATCAGTCATTTTGAGGGAATGTCATTCTATATTTTGGTAACATTTCCTTATTCTAATAATTAGAACTGGAAGATGTCCTGGCTGCTTTGATAAAAATACAGACACTACTTTGCTTTATGGCTCAACTTCCTACTTTAAACATGGCTACATAAACAACATATGCCATCAGAAAGTCATGCAAGAAATCCAAGGCCTGTTTGTTCTTGTTACAGAATACAAGATGTGGAATAATAGATATAGGTTACAGGAACTTAGATTATTTTTAAATGTTAGAGAAATGATCTTCCTAGCTACAGTGGAATCAGTTGCTCAAAGAAGGAGTCAATCTCTCCTTTATTAGATATGTTTATGAGAGGGTTAGATGGCTATTTGTGTGGGATTCCTGTACTTGGCAGCAGTGTTTAGACTCAATAGTGGCCTAAGTGTCCTTGTTCAACTTGATAATTCTATGAATTTTTTTCAGGTGAGAAGACTTTAATTGTTGCTTTGATTATTAAATAATTATTGACATGAAGGTAATTTAGTCAATGCCAATGATGATCAAGTGGTGTTCCAGTTGTTTATTGCACCTATTACTATTGGTACTTCTGTGCCCTTGCTTTCTTTTGCGACAGTCATACTATTTCTATTTGTGGGTCTTTGTATTTTATTATTGTCTCTAGTTCTGTCTCTTCTATTCTGCTGTCTCCAGGTATTAATTGTTATTATTACAATAATTAATTTAATTATTATTAATTAAGTGTATACATTGCCTGATCCCAACAATCCTGAACATTTAGAGATAAAAAAAATGTTAAACCAAGAAAAAAAAATTACAATGATGGATAAAAATGTAGAGGGAAGAGGAGAAGAATGACAAAAATCAAAAGAGAGAAAACCAGATGGGAATGAAAAGAAACAAACCCGCTTAACTTGAATAGGGAGCATCAGTCATCCTTACCAAAGCCTGGCAATGAATCAGGTCTTCAAGACCCTTCAAAACATCAGCATCCCGATCTGGGGGGGGGGAGGCCTATTCCAGATAGAGGTGCTGCTATAGGGAAGGCCTGCTACAAGGATCCTGATATATGACCTTGTTTTAATGAAAAGAAATTGGAGTTTGTCAACCTTGCCAATATAGTTGGCAATATTGTTGTCCAGTAAGCTGAAATTAGGCTTTATATTTACAAGTAGTCCTCAACTTACAAACATTACAACTGCACTGAAAAAAGGGACTTAACGACTGTTGCAGCATCCCCCCCCCATGGTCACATGATCAAAATTTGAATGCTTGGCAATTGGTTCATATTTATGATGGTTGCAGTGTCCCAGAGTCATGTGGTCACCTCTTGCGAGGTGATCAGCAAAGTCAGTGGGGGAGCCAGACTCACTTAATGACCATGTTACTGACTTAACAATTGCAATGAGTCATTGAATAACTAAAAAAATTGTAAAATGGGGTAAAACTAACTTAACAACTATCTTGATTAGTCACAGAAATGTTGAACTCAAATGTAGTCGTAAGTCAAGTATTACCTTTGTTTGTTGGAAAGGCTCTCTTTAAATGAAGCCTTGTATTATACTGCAAAGTAGGCCTCAGCACATTTAAGTTTTGAGGAAGAATACTTTTTTTTTTTTTTTTGCTGCGAAATGGGGAACTTGGCTGTCTGCTGTGTTTGGAAATATGCTGACCTTCTCTGTCTTGTGTTAGTTAGGATACAGACATAAAATTGCATTTTATATTTTATACTGAAGGTGAAAGATGGCTTTCCTCTAACTGTGTCCAAATAGAGCTGTGTTCCATTTGTGCCTTGAGGACATTTAGTGCATTTTGCTGTTCCTGAAGAAAATAAGATAACTTTGAACAGGGAGGGTTGTGAATCATTTGGCAGAAAGCACAGATACTAGCCATTATTGGCATGAAATGGCAGTGCTTGAATAGAAGCACAAGCTAATTGTTATATGTAAACTCAGTCCTAAGTGAAAGATCTGTCTGTTATCTTGCTGGTAGTTTACATAGCAAGGAAGGTTGTATTCTGAGGTGGCATTTCTTTTATATGGAGGTAAACAAACAATAACTGAAAAAGAACCTTTCCCAACATGTTCAGCTAATTGTGTGCCTGTCGGAAATGGAATGATTGGCAACCTATGCTTTTGGCAAACTTTCTGAATAAACAGAGGGGAGCCATGGCAGGGAATGAAATGAGCAACTTTAAGGAAAATATCCATTGTCATCAGAAGGCATCTTGGCCCTTGATATGTACTAGGCTGACAACATAATTAAAGGAAACTCAATTATCTCACCTATAGAGAGGAAAGAGTATGAAGCTTGGCATAGTTATTTGAAAGTTTGAAAAGAAGAACTTTTCTTTTTTAAAAGCTTTGTATGAAAACAGCCAACTGAGTCAAAATGGCTGGGAAAAGTCTTTGCTTAAGACCTCTTTACCCAGTATCCAATTATCCTGATCTGGATTCTGCAAAAAGATAGTTTCAACTTTAGCTCTGTGGATCTTTATGTAAGGGATTTGAATAGGGGTAAAATATGGGTAAAAATGAATAGCTGAATAAATATGGGTACGTGAATAGCTGTCATGGCCCCATCTATGATTTGCCCATCCACCAACATACTCCTTCAGTCTTTCTCACTTGACCACTCCAAAGGAATCCGAAGGAGCCAATGGACTTCTTCATTTAGAAATTTCTAAAATGGGTTGGACTGTTAATGAGCTTGGCTTATAATTACGGTATTAAATAATTTTTGGCTGCATACCAACAACATATGTAAATGCAAATAAGATTGCTTTGGGTATAGTAATTTCTGTCTTTATTTAGAGGCAGAAGAAACAAATTAAAGTTCTTAGGCCAGAAAAAAGGAATTAGATTTATTGGAAATTAATACATTTACAATGGATCTATTATATTTTAAGCAAAAATATTATTAATGGGGGGTCTTTGGTGCTCTCTGAGCTTGCTTGTTTTCTTGCAGACATTTCATTACCCAAACTGGATAATATCATGTCATCAGTGCTAGTAAGGCATGGGGTTTGCTCTTAGTTTATACTGAGGGGTTGGACTAAAAGACCTCCAAATCCCTTCCTTTTGTTCTGTTCTGTTCCATTCTGTTCCGTTCTGTTCTGATCTCTAGTGACTTGCCCTGTCAGTGTGAGTGGGGATGGTCTAAAGTTCTTTGGTTGGGCTGTTTGGCTTCTTTGGCAGGTTTTTTCATTGGGGTGTTGTTTACTTGATTTTTGGTCTGATGTGAAACTTGGAGTTAATCTATGCTGTTCTGGGTGCTGATTGCTTGGGTCTTTTTGTTCCTTTTTGGACTGGATGATAGTCCCTTTTGCATAGTCTATAGATACTAATGTCTATGTGTCTATTGATGGCTAATTTGTTAGAGTGCCAGGCTTCTATAATAAAAAAATCTAAAGTCTAATGACTGGTCAAAATCTTCCTACTTTATATTATGGATCACACCAATAAGAATGCTATACATTGCTTTTTCTATCACAGTATTGGTAAAGCTAACCATTTCAAATACAGAGGCCTAATGAGGGTGTATGGCATTTTGCTAAACTACAATGTCTGGTAGCCATGTAAGGGAGCATCCATCTGTGTTAGTTGGATACTGAAGTGATATCCAAAGCCTCTGAACAAATTAAATAAGAACTTTGGATAAATGCTTAACATCTGCTTTTTATGCTTCCATCTACTAAGCATTGCTGCTCTTTGACACACCTTAAATATCTGGACTTGCTGTGTGGA